ATTTAATAATTGTTAATTCACTACTAGCTTTAGATTGAGGGTTTAGATACGTGTTAAGAAATATTTATATGGTAGGTTACAAAATGTTTGGCGTACATGTTCAACGACATGGTTAGTTGTCTTTAGTAGATGCTTTTATGATTACTTTTTCAACAGACAAGCCTATCTCAACACACCAGCCTCTCTTACCAAACCAGCCTCTCTCAACAAACCAGACTTACTACATAACAGACCAGCCTCTCAACATATCAGCCTTTCTCAACAGACTAGCCTCTCTCAACAGACAAGCCTCTCTTAACAGACCAGCCTCTCTCAACAGACCAGCCTCTCTCAACAGACCAGCCTCTCTCAACATACCAGCCTCTCTCAACAGACCAGCCTCTCTCAACAAACCAGACTTACCACATAACAGACCAGCCTCTCTCAACAGACCAGCCTCTCTCAACATATCAGCCTCTCTCAACAGACCAACCTCTCTCAACAGACCAGCCTCTCTCAACACACCAGTCTTACCACATAACAGGCCAGCCTCTCTCAACATACCAGCCTCTCTCAACATACCAGCCTCTCTCAACAGACCAGCCTCTCTCTACAGACCAGCCTCTCTCAAAATACCAGCCTTTCTCAACATACCAGCCTCTCTCAACAGACCAGCCTCTCTTAACAGATCAGCCTCTCTTAACAGACCAGCCTCTCTCAACAGACCAGCCTCTCTCAACAGACCAGCCTCTCTTAACAGATCAGCCTCTCTTAACAGACCAGCCTCTCTCAACATACCAGCCTCTCTCAACATACCAGCTTCTCTAAACAGACCAGCCTCTCGACATACCAGCCTCTCTCAACAGATTAGCCTCTCTCAACAGACCAGCCTCTCTCAACATACCAGCCTCTCTCAACAGACCAGTCTCTATTAACAGATCAGCCTCTCTCAACAGATCAGCCTCTCTCAACAGATCAGCCTCTCTCAACAGACCAGTCTTACCATACAAGACACCAGCATCTGTCAACTGACAAATCGTAAAATCACCAGCATCTCTCAACAGACCAGCCTTTCACAACAGACCAGTCGTAACAAAAAGGCACCAGTAACTTACAAGAGACCAGTCTCTCTCAGCAGACCAGTCGTAATATACAAAAGACCAATCTCTCTCAACTGACCAATCTTACCCTCCAAGATACCAGCCTCTCTCAACAGACCATTCTTACCATACAAGAGCCCAGACTCTCTCAAAAGATTAGTCTTATCCTACAATAAACAAGCCTCTCTCTACACACCAGTCCTACCATACAAGACACCAGCCTTTCTCAACAGATCAGTCGTAACATACAATAGACCAGCCTCACATAACAGACATTAGACACCAGCCTCTCTCAAACAGACCAGCCATACCATACAAGAGACCAGCCGCTCTCAAAAGACCAGTCAGACCTATCAAGAATTCAAAGCGACAGATATTCGTGCACTGCAGTACAAGCCTGATGCTACTGTCTACTTCAAAGTGAATTAGCAGATAGCTGGCAATTGCTAAGCTAGGGTCGTAAGATTATGATCTCATCTGTAGCCCCTGTCAAGTTGTACAAGAGCAGGAAAAAAAGATAAAAGCTGTCATATTTGAGCACCTAAAAGCAAGCAATAAACACACCTTTTTATGATGATTTCCCTGATTTTAAAAATGTGTTGCCATTTTAATGTTTCTTTATGTGACGTTTATTCAAAGAATAAATTTAAAAAAATAAACACATTTTTTTGTGTTACATTTTTGTAAAATAAGTAAACATTAAGTCAGTATTAATGTAATTAGTGTGTAATGTCTCATTCATAATATATCTGACAATACGGTTTCTGTTTTTACTATTATCATTCTACAAACCCAGCACCCACCAGATTAAGTAAAAAAAAACTGTGAGAATAGAAAGATGTAACAAATAAAGCATAACCTTTAACAGTTAACAAGTCTAATGCTAAATACAGACATAATGAATACAGTCGAAAGCGATAAAGCCATACTAAAACATCTCTACTAAAAATTAAACTGACCCCATTATGTAGAATAAACTCAAATAATTAAAATATGAGCCCAAAACTATAATCTAAATATTATGAAGTGGTAATTATAACTTAAAAACATAAACATAACTAAATCACGTTCATTGGACAAAACGAACGAACGCGGCTGAGACCGAAATTCTCGGCTCAAAACAGCTAAGTCTGCGCGAGCACAGATAGACGGTTTGCACCGAGAATTTTAGACCGAGCAAACCGTCTATCTTTTTAAAACTGCTATAATTATGTAAATATTAACAAAACTCATTTTAAAACGCTACAGTATAGTCGGTAGGGAGTTTCTTCGGAGATATCATTTTTAAAAAATTGTAATAGAGCGATCGAGAAGGAAATAATCAGTTTTTTGTCTCTCCTGTAAAATTTACATTTTCGGAGTTTGCGACCGAGACCATCGATATATATATATATATATATATATATATATATATATATATATATATATATATATATATATATATATATATATATATATATATATAAAAATATATATATATTCTAGCCGTCTCGGCCAGGCCCTGCACTGGACTCTGTGAGAAACCTATCTGTAAAGAACCATGGCTTGTGTGTTTAGTAATCAGCATATATCCCAGAATTGTCCATCCTGAACATAAACACAACACAAACACAACACAACACCAACACCAACACTAACACCAGCACCAACATAGACACAAAAAGTAGACACAAAGAATAACCTGCGGGAATTCCCGTTCTCGAATAAAGATGTCTTTTTTTACATCAAATGTCTTTGATTATAAAAAAAAATAAGTACACTGTACGTTCAGTGTATGAAATAAATAAAAGGCAGTATTTAACATACCTACAACAATGCACTTAATCAATCCCCATTAATTATATAAGTATTTTTCCCCAACACCAAAACAAAGTAATAAAAAGTAAATTCTTTTCCACCCGATGTAATGTTTTTTTTAAAGGGAAGTAATTGTGTTTTCCTAATTTATCAAGGAAAGTAATCAATGCTAAATCACTAAATATAAATCATTTTCAGAAATAACTAGAATTTTTTTGTAAAATATGATATTTATAAAATTTTGTTTAATGAACATGCTGACAATTATTACTATCAGTTTGAAAAATTGTTTTACAACATGTGTCTGCTCCACATAGCAAAACTACCCTGACATTTGTGTTAAGTATCCTAATTTTTGTTTGGTTGGAAATGGCAGACTTTTTCCATATGGATCGCAGAACTGTGAAAGCGCAGCGGGCTCTATTAATTCTAGCACGTATGTCCTCCTCTGAGCTTCCCGATTTGCTGAACTTTATGCCAAGATAGGCAAACTCTTCCACATCATTTACCTGTCTTCAGTCTATTGTCACTGGGGCCTCCTGGTTATTGTTGATTTTCATCACTTGTCTTTTCTTTGTTGATCTTGAGACATACGCGTTGAGAGATGTCTTGTAGCAGATGCGAGATTAAGGCAAGATCATCTGCAAACTATAGATCCTCTATTTTCCCTGTGACTGTCCACTGTATACCTTTTCCAGAACTGGCTGTGCGCGTCACTCAATCGAGAACCAATAAGAAGAGAAGAGGCGACCACGGACATCCATGTCTAACACCTGTGTTAACCAGAAACTCTTCAGACAGTTTCCCGGCATGGCTAACTTGGCATATTGTAGTATAGCAGGGAATAATTTATAAAAATTTCTTCAAATTTCTTACAGTAGAAAAATATTCAGTAAGTTAAAGTATATTGTTGGTTGTTTTTATTTGGGGCGGGGGGGGGGGGGTTATTTTAGAAAATTGTGATTTTATCTTTTTGCGTATGTGTGTTTCTAGATATGTGTATGTATTTGTGCTTGCGATAGGGATTAACATAATATGTTGCGCGAGGTGGCAGCACAGACAGTGGGATATTCTATAATTGCCTACAAAATATTAAATATTATTTTAAAAAACCCATCTCATTTAGAAAGTTAGTTGTTTTAAAAGGTTAACAGTATTAACATTTATATCAATTTAAAAAAAAAAGTGGTACCTATGTTCGAGGTCTTAGATTCCAACCGATATTGTTTCGAATGTTCTAGTTGCGTATGATGGGTCGGTGCCAATATTCTTCTCTGCAACACCAGCAAGTTGACCGTAAGCCCCATATACTGCTATCATACCAGCTCGTCCTTCACCGCGCAAGTAAAACCACCTCGAGTGTAGCATAATGATGTATTAGTTTTCAGATAACATCTACATTCACACTATCAAAAAGATCGTGTACAAAGGTGACTGCAACAGTTTGGACTATTTAATCACGAGATAAATTGCCCGTTGAGTGTTGTCTTTTTCTCTAAACCAAAACCTAAATCACCACCTTAACTTCCAGATTAACCGTAAACGATCAATGCTATTTTTATCCAGAATCGGCACGTACTTACTGCATAGTGATAGATGAGCATTATATTTTATTACACATTTCCTGCTATAAATAGATCCGACTTGAGCAGTTCCTCAGCACTTGGACGATCCTTGAAATTCTTGTGGAACGTCTTGCCCAAGAATTTGGCTATTTCCTTAGAACTTGTAGTCCAGTTTTTGACCGATGCCGATTTTGTAAGCCGCTTTAACGGGGTAAGGTGACCCAATGGGGGATTCCCCGTGACCGGGAAAATAAAATACACGGGACGGACAAAAATCAAAAGCTAGGGGCCCAACTCGAAAGTAAATATGGAAAAAGAATGCTATTTTAAGTGTGACGTGGATGCGACGCTAAAAACAATATATAAAATTATGTCTGACTGTCGAGTAGTTAACAAAGTCGAGTTCATGTTTCTTTCCCCTCGAGATTTTACGTTGTTGTCAGCCTTGTGTACATCCCCTATACTTAACCCGACCTATGTTGTGTACTCATAAAAGCTGGGTGAACTGATAGGCTAAAGTGGCTATAGGCCGTACAACAATCTGGTTCTAATTAAAATGTCAGTCTGTAAAACGTATGTACCAGATATCCGCTCTGACGTCATAGTTCTCACTTCCTGTTCCTGTGATAATCTCAGGCGCCATCCAGTAGGACGTGCCGACCTTTGACCTGGCATTGGTCAGTGTGTGGAGGATCTTGGACAGTCCGAAGTTGGTCAGCTGGACCTTGTCTGGTGACTCCAGCAGCACGTTCTCACCTGTGTAAGGTACAAAGGTTTGTTTTACCTGGACAGGTGTTGGTATGGTGGAACAAATCTGGGTACCAGATAGTCATTTTAGTCTGTTGTCTTTACATCCTACAACTAATATGCCTTCTAAATTTTATTTTGTCAGATTTTGAATTCTGGCCCTAAAGTTTAGCCCCATAAAACCTGAACAATCAGACTATCAACTTGTACGTTGAGATGTAAGGAATAACTGTGTATGCTGAACATATTTATTTTTAAGTAGCGCACCACCATCTGTCTCTAAACTCTAAACAATCGGTCATATTAACAAAAGAAAATAAATAAATAAAGACATCAAAATACTACTAAAATTATATTGTTTGTTACAAGTTGTATTTACATAATAAAAACCCACAATAAAACTCGAAAAATATCATCCTACCTTTTACGTCTCTGTGAATGATGATCGGTTTGTTATTGTGCAAATATTTCAAGCCTTCAAGAATTTGTCTGGTGTAGATTCGGACTGTAACCTCATATAGAGGCGACCCTCTTTCTTTTATCAGCTTCGCTACAGAACTCTGAGAATTTGTTTTAACAGATTGATGTTTCTTTTGTTTTAGAGTCTAAAAAACACCTAAACCTTTTAATAAATTGGTGGTAAATTATGGGTTTATTACTCTAATGAAAATTTTTTAAAAATGTGTTTAAAAGTGAAATTTATGATTGACCAATTATGTACAGATAGAATGTGAATGTATCGACCAGACGTCAATTAAATCTTAGCATATAAGTACGCTTTCATACATGTTACTGTATTAATTAGAATTTGTTTCAATCAGCCGAGATAATTGATTTAAATAAACTAATAATAAAAAAAATACAGTTTATTTTCAAATGAGGTAGATAATATAAGCTTATGGGTTATGAATTTAATTAGAATTTTACTAGCAGCACCCACTTACAAGTTTCATGTATTTGTAAAATATGGTTAGAAGGTTCGGGTTTTGTTTGAAACCATAGAAGGCTACAATTCGCGGGTGTTTTATCTGCTCCAGAATTCTCAACTCAGCCAAATTCTATAAAAAGAAAATAATGATAACATATAGGCCTATAAATATTTTTAATAAATAATACTATGCCTATAACTTCATATTGCTCATTTTATGTCTATTTCAATTATTTGACAAATAAATTAGTTCCAACAACTCAACTAACTTTTTTCTTTTCGATTTGAGTCGATGCGACTGAAATATCTTTGCCAACAAACTTGACCTCCCTTGGCTCGCTAGGGTCGATAATCTCGTATACATTTACACTTCCACCGACGAAATTTCCCTTGCTCCAAACATGACGGTGACGTCGATGTTATAATAACTTTAATGAAAAAAAACTATCAAGCACAAATATCATTTTATACATTATTTAGAAAAATATATGAAATAAGTATTGATATACTTTAGAAAAGCATTTTTAATAAATCCAAAAAGATTTGAAAAAAAACACCTAAAATTTAAATTATGAATTAGATCTAGAGTCTATACATTTACAAAACTTACTATCGGTCTCTTCCTCCGCCATCAGCGACAACGTGTATATTCTATTACTCAAGGTAAATAAAGTTGCAAGAGATTTTTTTCAACTTATAATGTAATATGTAACTGTCTATTACCAATTAATAAGTTGCAAGCTGTTTAAATTGAATATAAACAATTAAAATAAATTGCAACGCGGTTTACGAAATGTAAAAGATTAAATAATATCGGATTATAATATCGGATTTTCCCAATCATTAACGTAAAACGTGTAATACTTGACTTAAACGAATATTTTCCTTTAAAAAATAATATATGGCCTACTACTTTTGTTTTATTATTGAAGAACTTATTTTTTTTTTATTAAACTTAAATTTAAGAAAAATGTCTTTTGAATTAACACATATTTTAGAAGAAAATATATATAAAACTAGATACTAGATCTAGAAGTAGTTTTAGAAATCTAGATCTTACATTACAACCTTCTTCCCTATGGGCTTGCTATGCCAGATAAATATGCTTTTAACTACACTAAAAAAGTATATTGCTAAGTATTAAACTTTTGTAAACAATCTCGTAAAATTTAAATAATGTTGCGCGAGAATCAAATTATATATATATATATATATATATATATATATATATATATATATATATATATATATATATATATATATATATATATATATATATATATACATACATATACATCGTTTCTCGGCCAGTTTAATAGTCTAATATTATTGAAGTCATGCTAAATATATAATTAGAAAACGCTCTCGAAAAACCGAAATCAAAATGACTGAAAATGTACTAGTCAGGCGTGATGTCACTTTCTAAAAATATACATATTGAGCTATTATTTGACGGAAATGTCGGCCTTGACCTAGATTACATGCTATTTTTCAGCAATTTCACTGCTCACAAGGCAGCCATCTTTCATTCTTTACAATCGTCATTGCCTTCAGACTTTTCGAAACTGTGAATTAATTTTTGTTGGTAGACTGATTTTAAGGTAAGTTATCAATTGCTTACTAACTATTCGTATCAATTAAACTATTAACTATTTTTTTAAATAACCATTTTTCAATAGAATGATTAAAATTCACATGGAGCTAGATCTATTAATTATTAATTATCGATTCGAATTTTTACAAGTGGTTTTTAACCTATTTTTTCACATTTTATGCTAATAGGTTGTAGGTCATTAAAAAATTTATAACTAAAAAAGGTTTGGAAATATCTATTTTTTACTCTATAAGTTTCATAACTATCCTGATAATTATTTAAACCCAAAATTTGGCGTTTATAGTATTAGTATTGTAGTCTCCGACATACTTATTTTAAAATGGTTGTAAAAATGGAACGTTTTCCTCTAAATTAAATCGGCAAACAGTTTTAAAAATTGAAAAAAAATTTATTAAAGTGTATCAAACATAGATCTAAATACAAATGATTTGCAAGTATTATTTTCTTTCAAAATGTCGAATTATAGAAAATCAGCATCAGGGTCCCTCCAAACTGCAGTGTTTGAGAGAGCAAGATTTCCCATAACAACAACGACCATATGTAAATTAGAGTGGTTTCCTCTAAATCACTTACTTTAATTTTACCAAAAAATACTTAAATTTTAAATAAAGTTGTTTAAAATGAGGTACACGAATGAAACTTTTAAACATTTATGTAACTATTAAAACATAAATCCTCATAAAAAGTGAATTAAATACTAAATTTAATTAGTCACCGTTCTTTCACATTACTAGTCTCGGAAGATTTTACGTACATATAATGATAGATTACCAACTTTTATAACACTAAGCCTAGATGATTTTTTTTATCTAATGTATTTATTGATTATATTTGGCAGCCAGTTTCTACAACATCTTAATATACTTTTGATAGCTTGAAATATAAAGATAACCAGGTCTAGCAAAATTAATTTAAACTCACCACTTTCTTTTACACAATAGGCTCGAGGAAACAACAGCATGACAGTAGTTCAGGTAAACTATGTGTTTGTATATCTAGTGACCCAATTAGCGCGTTGCGCGAACACACACTGCACGACTTCATACGCCTTGATTCTTTTTATAAAGCTCCGCAATGGTTGATATTTTTTCCAAATGAAATTAGGTCTGCTTGTCCAAGCTCTACAAATAACATATTTACTATTAGGCTGATACGATTTTTCTTAGTTTCCAGTCGAAATAAATACTTACTAACACGGTATTACAGGAGCTATTTTCCAAACTCACTATTATTGACGGAACTACCGTGCCCACTATGCCCGCCTAAACTCCGAGCGTAAATAAAATGAAACAACTAACGCTTCACTGCTTTTATTAATTTTGTGAAAGCGTTTTAGAAAAGTAAAATCTTACATGGTAGGTTGTGTAGAGAATATAAATTATGAGAAAATTGCATTACTTTATCAAATAGTGTTTGTTTTGCAAAGCATGTAGCGACTTTGCTACACTATTCAACGGTGGATAAAAAATTGCAAAAAAAAAAAAGGAAATTTGAAATTTATTGAGTAATTATTGATTTTGTAAAATACTTTTTTATCCCCATCCGGAGAATTAGAAATTAGTTTACAAGATAGAAATTTACATTATTTGCACCATATCACTATTACTAGTGCCAGTCAATATATAGCCTCATTTTGCTGTACGTAATCTCTATCGAGTATAACTTGAAATTTTTATTGTTTTAAATGTAAAGTGGTTTTCAATTATTCAATTTTGTTTATAGCCCAAACGTTATAATATCTACCATGCTGATAACTGGCCATTTGCAGAAACCAGAGACATGACTGATAGAAGCCAATGAATTGATTTATAAGTGCTACATCAAAGATTTTTCTGGATTCCACTGTGTAATGCAGATCTAGTAAATGTGCATTTGTTCACCCATTATACTTAAATAGTCTTCATCTATGAAATGTTGGAAAATATTACATAGTGTTAAATAAAATAATCTCGAACAGATGAAAGCCCTTGTGCTCAAAAACCAAGTTGATCAATTCCTTTTCCTTAAAAGTACTAGAGCTATCTTCTTATAAATGTACATCATATAAATGTACAGACATCAGGCGAATCAATAGATGAATAATAATTTAGACATTAGTGACCAAAGACGAATGCAATCTCTTTTCTGACAGAATTCTTCTGTAATAATCTTTGCTCATTCTAGGCATCCTGTAAAAAATGAACAATGTTATTACTAAAACAAGCTTTTAATTATATCTAGATCTATATACTTTATCTCCACACTTGCACAAATTGAATAATAATTTAAATAACAATAATGAATCACTGATAATTTTACTATGATCGAATATTATTATTTTATGTGAATGTATACGTAAGAATATCAGTCAAATAGTATTATACCATTGTTTTTCCTTAACGATAATCGCCACTACTTACATTTACCCATATTTATTAAGTTGTAACGTTATAAGGTAAATAATCAAATAATATACCAATGTCACTTGCATTTAGATTCCATCATTCTAGACAAAAAGAGATAAATAAAACAATCGCAAATTATAATATACTTCATGGTTTTATAAATTAAGTTTTGATTGCTTTTATAAAAATAAATAAACATTTATTACCTACAGTAATATTATTTAATGTGTTATGGGATGCAGTCAATAGTTGTAGGCTAGATATGTATGCCTAATATATTCAAACACTGTCTACATGTATGAATTGGTATAAGTAGAGAATTTTATGCAAGTTATACTAAGGGGTATCTGCTAAATATTAGTCTAATATTATATTATTATTATTGTACATTATCACACAGTTTTTCTTTAATATAAGGACCACGCTGTACTCCCAAACATTATTTTTAAATATCATATTTTCTATATTATAAATTATATAAATTTCAAGAGATGCTGGAAGAAACTCTGTTAGGAAGAGACCCACGCTTTTCTTTATAGTTATTTTAATAGTAGTGTATAATTTATTTTTCTACTTTTTAGTGCATTATTACATGAAAGCTTGTTGTTAAAACGTTTTTTTTTACTAATTTTTCATTCAGTACTTTAATTGTTTTAAATTTCCAATAGAGTTGCATAATAGAGCTTACATAAAAATGCGTATACCAAAAATTGCGCACACAGAAAAAGGGATGATGTTTTTAGCACACATAGAAACTTAGATATGAACGTATTTTCATTTCTGATCAAAGATACACTAACAATTTTCTTGCTTAAAATAGTGAATATTATTGTCTATACATTTCCAAAATGTAATAAAACGTAGGCCAACTTACTAAAGGTATCCTGCTGTGTTCAGGCGTGGAGAGGGATGGCAACACTGGGCCCTAGACAAACCACTTAAAATGACTTTAAAAACTTATTTGCTCGGATTTGAACTGAAAATAACAATCGTGTGCTCTTACCAACTCCAATGTCGTAATGTAAATCTGAACAATTTAGAACGAACTCTTTTCTGACACGAAGGTTATTAATTATACCAGCAAAAGATAACAATTAACAAATTCAGCTTATCCAGTGTAAACATTCAGTTACACTCTCTAGGCTATTGCGGTGGTGGGTCTGTAGCTGGAAAGGTGGGTTATAAATTTGTGATGAAATCATGTAACTCAGTTTGTCACATTTTATAGGCTGATGAAGTGGAGTCCAAATGGAGTCCTGCCGGTTGGCGTTTTTGTAAACCAAATCTGAATATTTTTACCATTTTGGCCAAGAAAACCAGAAAGTTACTTCCGCTTTCTCTTTAAACTTTGAACACAATAACAAACCTTTTGTTTGCAGGTCTGTAACTTTGAACACAATAACAAACCTTTTGTTTGCAGTTCTAGGATATTGAAATAGATCTAGATTTAAGTTCTCTTTAAACTAGACCAAAGTTTAGATCTAAATTTTAGTATGTTAATGTTAGGAAGACATTCAAGCAGCTAGTGAATAACGCAATCAAATAATTCTTACTTAAAAGTCTACTGCTGGTTAATTGAGAAAGCTAGCAAATTGAAATTAACTAAGACTAAAGACCCATTATTTGAAAATTAGATTCTAGCACAGTAGTCGAATAATTACTAATAATTAGACTTAAAAATATAGCTTGTTAGATTCTACTAATTCTCGATATTATAAAATATGGTTTTGTGTTTCGATGAGGGATGCAAACATACTACATAGAACTCGCAAAAACGGCTGTCATTTTTTTCGTCAACTATTAAAAATCCTGATTTAAGAAACAAGTAGATGTCAGCTATCAGGTTCTCTAGGCTTTCCGTTTCTATCTCATGAGTATCGTGGGATGTTCATCTGAATTTATTTACATTAATGTCTAAACCATTAACTTCGACGATTCTATGTAAAATGTCAATATTCTACTAATTTTCATAAAATTATTAGATTGACTTTGCTTTTATTTCGACCTAAAATAAATTTAAACAAAAGTTAATGAATGTAAATTATATTTATTTAAGTCGACCTGACAGAGAACCTACGAAATTTTCAAGAGTGTGTTCCTGCCATTTTATAAATGGGGAGAAGAAGAATTGTCCGGATTCCTTATTGATGTTCCAACCTGAAGATGTACCTTCTAGCTCTATGAAATCTAATCTATTACCGCTTTTTAATGCATCTGCTACTGACATTTTACATTGTATTTCCAATACATCCACATTGTCTTCAACATCACTTCATACTCCCTCCAGTTTATGTGTTGCAAGCATTAAAACATCTAAGTTAACCCTTTCCCCGGCGACTGGGTGTAATCGACCCGAAGTCACTATATTTTTGCTCATATCTCGAGTCTCGTTTTATAAATTTTTTTGGGCCTCATTCCCATCTATAAGGTGGTTGGGATAAACACATTGGGGGTTGTAAATTTTAAAAATATGCGTAAAAAATTTTTTTATGAGGGTTTGAATTTTTTTTATACGGTCCCTGGCAACTGGGTGCTACACACCCTTAGACAATTTTAAGTGGTAAAAATATTTATAACTTATAAACTGGCTTCTAACAATTTG